AGTACATACGAGTAACATACGAGTACATACGAGTAACACACGAGTACATACGAGTAACATACGAGTACATACGAGTAACATACGAGTAACATACGAGTACATACGAGTAACACACGAGTACATACGAGTAAAACACAAGTACATACGAGTACATACGAGTAGAATACGAGTACATACGAGTAAAATACGACTAGTAAACTTGTTTTCAGTGTTTGTAGATTGAATACAGGCAAAAAGATCGTCTTCTCTGTCGAAAAACGTGGAATGGGGGAACGGGGAATGGGGGAACGGGGGAACGGGGGATCGGAGAACGGGGAATGGAGGAACGAGTAACGGGAGGGGGAGGGAAATCGAGCAATTATGAATTATTATTAATACGTAATATTCATCATATGTACGGGGGGAAAAGAACAGAAAAAAAGAAACAGAAATTCGACAGGATAAACGGGAATCGGGGAATTACGAAACTATAAAACGGACTCTGGTGTCTTGGGAATTAGAAAACCGCTCAATGAATTAAAACTAGTAAAGAAATTTAGCGAAGCTTTCCTTTATTAGTACAGCGTATCATAAAAAAGTCAATCCACATTGCTTATGTCCGATCATTAAGTAATATTAATAATAATAACATTGCTTATGTCATTACTAATATACTTGCTATATAATAAAACAAACTTAAGGACTAGATGCAAGCCCAAGGCAGTCCTTATGCTCCATATAATATCTTAAAGTGATTATCCTATTTTAAATATCTTACAAAGCAAAACTAACAAAACACAAAATACTTCAAAATACGCAGATTTTAAGTTAGCAATTTAAGTTGGCAAGTACGTTTCTAAAGGACCCAGCCGAACTCTCCTGCAAGCCTTTGGACGTGCTCCACCTTGAGAAGGGGAGGAAAGTCTGGAGGAACGAGAACGTCGCCAAGAAAGATACTTTGCTCTGATGCAGGCTGATCGGAAATGAAAATGCACGTTCTGAGGCTCACTTGAAAACTGGATTTGTCCTAATTTAGGAAAAGTCCCTTTTTCCTAAATTTATACAAACAAACCAGCGAAGAATAACAAATTGATAAACGGAACGTAAGTTTTAGGCTTTATCCTTTCCCCTTGTTTAACAAAATCGATTTAAAGGACTGTGTCACCGCGTGCGCATCCTACGTGTTTCTAACACTAAGTAATGATAAATTATTGTTAATATTTTTTTAATTTTTTGTGCGTTTATTCCTTCTTTTATTTCAAATAGAAGTATAGTTAGGATAAATTTTAGAAAATTTAGATGCTCAGACGGCAGGAAATGGCATTTTTGGGCTTGAAATTTCAAACATTTTCTGGGGGAGTTAATGCCTCCAGACCCCCCTATTCATTCGCGGTATGTCGGCCACACAGGTGACCCACGGCCATTGCTATCCCCCTTTAATAATAAGTAATGGATAAATTATTGTTAATATTTCTTTTATTTTTTCTGCATTTTTTCCTTCTTTTATTTCAAATACAAGTATAATTAGCATAAATTTTAGAGAAAATTTAGATGCTCATAAAGTAGGAAATGGCATTTGAAAGGTTCAAATTTAAAACATTTTCTGGGGGAGTATGTCGGCCACACACGTGGCCGTCGGCCATTGCTATCCTCCTCTAACATATTATCTAAGGTCCCTTTTCAAAAAATACCCCTCCACGGGAAAATCCTTAAAAAAGGCCCTGTTGTCCTGTATTTCGGTCTCGGAACTGTCGTATGTCGCGGTATACGTTAACTGTGTAGTTCGTATATTTGCCTAGCCACATGTTGTGATTGAGGCTATGTGAGGATTGTAAGTTTATCACCTAGTACTATTTAAGTATAGATGCAGTTAGGTTATGTGCATGCTCACAGGGTTTTGAAAGCAAACCATGCCGTGAAATATGTGAAGCCTATGGTTTGTGTCATGTATCTAACTATCTAGGTAGAATACCTAAAAGTAGATGTTGTACAAACTACAAAGTTGTGGTTTATAGAATCTGGCAGATCTCCCCCACCCCCCGTCTCCTATCCCCCCTCGCCCCACCATTCCCTCCGTTCCCCCACTTCCCGTTCTCCCATTCCCCGTCCCCCCATTCCCCGTTCCGGGTTTTAAAGATAGCCGGTTTCAGTCTATTTCACGTTTTTCGACAGAGAAGACGATCTTTTTGCCTGTATTCAATCTACAAACACTAAAAACAAGTTTCCTAGTCCTATTTTACTCGTATTCTATTCGTATGTACTCGTATGTACTTGTGTTTTACTCGTGTGTACTCGTGTGTTACTCGTATGTACTGGTATGTTACTCGTATGTACTCGTATGTACCTGTGTGTTACTCGTATGTTACTCGTATGTACTCGTGTGGTGTTTTAGTCACGATCCATATGATGTTATTAAATTTCAACTTACATTTCATTACGGTATTTACTCCCATGTTCACGTCGCCATATTAACTTCTTCCAATCCCTCGATTACAAAACAAATCATCCCAAACCAAAGAACTCATAGTCGACTTTTAAAAGAATCACCGTTAATTTGTAAATCGTTGAATGGAAAGCAAAAAATCGTCAGCTAAAACAGCTTCTTGCTAACTTTCTGCTTTGTTTTGAATGTAAATGCAATGAGCTTTGTTTCTGTCCGCAATTTTTTGGTCAGCGACGACCCACATATTGTTAAAATTTGAATGCCTTTTCAATTGCACATATGCTGAGCCGTAGTGCGTGAAATATTGATGGGGTGCATATATTAGAAAAAGGAGACCTTTAGAAATTGAAATAACGTTTAAACAAAAGATTGTCTGCTCCTGGGAACAATCTGCCATGCATGCATACTGTACGTAGATCGCATGTTACGGACTCGTCAGTCGTGGGCTAAGCAAAGTGCTGCAGGATTCAAATTATAACAATGGTTGATTTCTAAAGGTCTCCTTTTTCTAATATATGCACTCCATATGTGCAATTGAAAAGGCATTCAATTATGCTTTATTTCTAAGGCCCGTTTCATACGCCGTACTTCACATGTGCCGAATACATTAAAGACAATAGATAATGATATCTATTGTTTGTAAGGCCAAATAAAAAAAAATACTTGGTAGCGTCACCGCCCGCCTCTCGATTTTCTGCCGCCTCTGAATTTTTTTTTTTTTTTTTTTATGTAAATCTCTTCGTTTTACAGCTTAAAACAGTTTAATATTTGAAATTTTTCTCATGTTCAGACCTTCGCGCTATATACTGATCGATAGGAGTGCGTGGGCTTGGGTATACAAGGTTCTTTTAGCAAAATGTCGGCCTTCGCAACATCATTACAAAAAATTTCACCGATGTGGTGGAAAAGCCGCCCCCATCTCCCAAAAAAATACTATTAAAAATTAAAAAACGAGTAAAAATTAAAAAATAAAAACCGCCCGCCCGCCTCTGAAAATTTGTGAGAGTGTGACGCTAACCAAGTATTTTTTTTTATTTGGCCTAATGTATTCGGCACATGTGAAGTACGGCGTATGAAACAGGCCTAAAGCGGGTCTCCTTTTTTTGATACACCCTGTATAACAAACGTTTATTGTAATGCTTTTAAAATACGCCATTGCCTTGTAAACGTTGATACGCTTTGCACCGATTCACTTGTTACTACGCGTCTTGTTTATAAGATTTTTAAAAGAAACAGTATTGTCTAGGACTGGCCCAATATTAGCAAATGTAAACATTTGATAATAGCCGAACAGAGAAATGTCCATAAGTATAGAGGAAATTTCAGTCATTGATTTATCCGTATTCGGTAATTATAGTTAAAACTTTAGCCTTTTTCTTGGTCTCTATTAATAATTATATTTATACTATAATCTATATCACAAATTTACAGTGTCAGATGCGCACAGACCGTCATTGGCGTCATACGAATAGACATAAATTTTCGAGTTTTCTACTTCTACTAACATTTTTAAAGTTTTCATTGTGAATCACCTGTTTATCTCTAATTCATCAATCATTTGCTACTTATATTTGATAGTGTCATATAGTGAATAATGCCGCGTTTACACACAAGCAATCCTGGATATGATCTAGACGATGTAAGCTGTCCTTAAAAAATAACGGTATTCTATTTCACAAAGCAAAATTTAGAATCTCACTTGTATTATTAGGGTTGACCCGGTTATCGTGTAAACGCTAATAGAAATTTATTAGTATACGCCAGCCCGGGTCAACAGCCAACCCGGGCTCGTGTGAAGGGCTCCTAATAATGAGTCCATAGGCTTATACACGAGGGGGGGGGGCGGCTTATTTTCGGGGGAGGCTAATTATATGGTGGGTATGGTGGGCTTATATACGGGGTAGGGGGAGAAAGTTTTAATTAAGATAAAGCCAATGTGATATGTTTTTAATTACTTTTATCTGCCAATATTTTTGCCATGTGGCTCGTTATGTTGTCTATCGTACTCAGTGGTCGTACCGGATACATTTATTATTTAGGAAAACAGTATCTTGCTAGTAGTCCGTTAAGCAACTTAAACCACTATAAGGCCAAATAAAAAAATACTTGGTTAGCGTCACACTCTCACAAATTTTCAGAGGCGGGCGGGCGCTTTTTTTTAAACTATTTTTACTCGTTTTTTTCATTTTTAATAGTATTTTTTGGGGGGATGGGGGCGGTTTTTCCACCATATCGGTGATATTTTTTGTACTGATGTTGCGAAGGCCGCCATTTTGCTATAAGAACCTTGTATACCCAAGCCCACGCGCTCCTATCGTTCAGTATATAGCGCAAAGGTCTGAGCATGAGAAAAATTTCAAATATTATAAAACTGTTTTAATCTGTAAAACGAAGAGATTTACATAAATTTTTTTTAAAAAATTCAGAGGCGGCAGCAATCGAGAGGCGGGCGGTGACGCTAACCAATTTTTTTTTATTTGGCCTAATAAACTCCACAATAGATAAAATTGGATAAAATCTTGGAACTATATTCTTTACTACCCAGACTAAACCAGGCTACGTCATTACATCAGCTCGCAAGTGGGACTCCTGTTTGGCGATGTTAATCATTCATTCGATCGTCTGGTTAACGTCCACGCAAACTTACTCATTGCTTTTTTATGAATATAAATGTTTTATAAGGAGTGCATTCACGGCAACATTTGAAAGATATTGCTTGTTAACTAGTGCAGTTCAGTAACTTTTTTCTGTAGCTTGTAAGAAATGTTTTATCAGTGGTAAG